ATCAGCAAATTGAAACACACAACAACAATACCAACAAAAAACAATACACCAAAAAGCATGGGGATTGCCCGTCAACGAAAAGTCGCTTTCATTGTCCAGGCGCAATTGTAATCGAAAATATAATAACGGCACAAATAACGGAATTGAAATGCGTTATACCTTGCTTTGATGGTGCAAGTGCGAAAGAGACACATTCAGCCGCATTTGATGTAATTTTAGAGTTAAATAACAGTAAAATGAAGGAAAAAAAATGTGAAAATTGAAATTGATCCCTTTGCATGGTCTAATGAATATTGTCGCATGCTGTCGATTCGCAGCCATTGAAATTAAAGTGAACTTGTCCATCGGCTTACATGCATAATGCATGCGGCGAATGCACGTTGCACATGACACTGGCTGCTCCGGCTGATGCATTTTTCTTTTGATCGATTTTCACGGCAAAACGATGATTGAAATATAATTGATTTTTGGCTATAGTTGTCAACACGGGCGCAAATAAATCAATGAACTCTTCCATACAGTCACATCGAGGCCGGAGTGATTTTTATGCGCGAAATTGGAAACATTTTCTTCGACTATTCGTTGGGCTTCATTCGAATCATTGACTGTTGAGACGTGCACACAACGAAGCCAGTATATTGGTGAGCCGAGCACGCTATTGTTTGTGTTGCATTTGGATGTGAATACTGGCAAACAGTGGCCCGAACACTCTATTACCACTGCTTTGCCGCTGTACGCTTGCGAGAACGAGCCAAAAGCCATCGTTGTTTGTTTGTATTATTGCGTACAGCAGACGCGCAGCGCACACTCTCAAGACGAAGTGAAAGATATAAATTATTCTTGCACCGCTGAAACATTGTCATTCAACAAGTGCCTTTCGACGTGAACAATCATCAGCAAAACAACAATTTTATTCACTCTCGGAATATTTCGATAACACCAAATACACCCCAGAGGCTTCAAAACGAATTGCAGAGATTCTTTGTTTGTTTGTTTTTGTTTATAAAGTGCATAAGAAAAATTGTGAATATTAATATGAACACAAAATAAGTTCATTAAAAATTCGGTGAGAAGAACTTGAAGAAAATAACGAGAACATTTGGAATAAAAAAACGCTCTTTCATTGGAAAATATTTGCAAAGAAATCGTGTGTGCAATTTCACTTTCGTCTCATTGTTGGGATCATTGAATATTCCTTACCACTGAGCGAATCACATCATTAACAGTTCAGAAGCAAAAGTAGTGCTACGTAAGACAGTTCTCGTGAAATGTGCACGAAATTGTGAGTTTTCAAATTTGTGAACGCCCTGAACGATTGGAACTATTAACATCGGGAGCATAGTTGAACTAGACAAAAACACAACAAACAACTAAAACGGAGAATTGTTGGGATTTAACTAACGTGTCATCTTAATTTTATTGAGAGAGAGAGAGAAAGAGAGAGAGAGAGAGAGAGAGAGAGAAAGAGAAAGAGAGAAGAAAAATGTTCGGAACGACGATTTGGTTATCATTATCCATTTGTTTCTTGATAGCTGTTGGAACGGCGCTGGCAGGAGAATCAAATGAACAGTACGTGACAACTTATTATCAAACATTTTTTCCATTCCCCCGTCAAAGAAAATCATTCATTGAACTAAGCCACAAACCTTTTGCATGAAATGCATTCCCTTTTTCATTCACCATCTCACCTCACCAAATGGGCACGATCCAAAACATAAACTTCTTCAAATTATTCTTAATGGTCTTTCTGTGCGTTTTGACTCGATTCCGTCCGTTCATGCTTAATCAGTGTTCTGGACAAGAATGTTTTGAAATGCTATGAATCTCTGCTTTTTTTCCCTAGTTTCATTCCATTTGAATATTTTTTATTTTTTTTATTTCGTATAATTCTTACCGATTCAAATGTGAATCATGAAAAATTTTGTACGCAAAAGTGGGATAGATATTGTTGTAATCACGGCTTGAAAATCCCGAAAGAAAACTATTTTGAAGTATCATTTTTGCGAAAAACTTTGCCAAAATTCGAATTAAATTAAACATTGAAATAAGTCCAGCTCATATTCTTGGCAGTTCAATTGAAATGTCGAATTAATCATATGAATTAATTATAATATTCAGTAGCAAGTCAATCATTACTCACTAAACAAACTTACATTTGCAAAATAACCACTATCCCATGTCTGTCATCTAATGACAGAAAGCTAAGTCATATCTTTTGTAATCACTCGTCAAATTTTGATGGCAATCAAAAGTCATTTGCACAATGTCGATAAAGATAGGAAAGGTTGCACTTGGAGGTGGTTTTGTTTATCAGTGTAACTAATGAAAACAAAAGGAAAATTTCTCGCGTCGATGGTAAAGTTCATTAACATTTCCAAGCACTAAAACTAATGAGTAAAAGTGAGAGTCTCATATGGGCTTCGGATGGTTTGGTGCAGCAAGTGCAGCAAAATCGTGCTAATAGAATGCGTTTATGCATAATGGGCTCGGACATATAATCATCAGCTGCTTATAGCAACGGCAGCAATTAAATGGTGCATGATTACATTGTTTGTAGATATTGTGGTTTGTCGTTAGTCCATGGTATTTGTTGTGTGTGAGCAAATAACATGACATCGTCGTCAGCAGCAGCGGCCGCAGCCGCAGCAGCGGCCGCAGCCGCAGCATATGGGCACAGCACACAGTGCAACAGGACTTTTACTCAAGTTTATTCACAGTGCACTGAATCAATTAATGTCACGCTTTTATGGGCAAGCCAGCATTCACTCGAATATAAGCGTTCGCATTTTCGGTCATATGCACCGAATGAAAATTGAAAATGAAATAATTTTCTTGCGTAAAGGCTATTTTCCCTTTTGCACCAGTCATTTCCCATTCCACGTTAAAACAACAAGTGTATTTATCGCTGCTGTCAGCTCGCATGCGACAACAGCAAACAACAACAACAAAACATCCATTAACTGTTGTCGCATCACAAAACACATAACCGGCCATAATGAAATTTTAAAATCAATCGAACCATGTAATTAGATGAAAAATGACGATCGAATCAACGAAAGCAAATGAAGTGAAGCATATAAATGGATACGCTTGGTTAACTAATTTCTAGCGAAGACAATAATTCAATATCTCTCTAACAAGACAATACACGACAGCATTTTATATGGAGTAATATCTAATTTATTTGTTGACTTTTCACACTTATTCGATGTGCTATTATACTTTCGTCGACGGTAATTTTACACTTGGTATTTTTTTTCTCGCATCAATGAAACCAAATAAGCATCGGAAAGAAAGGCGGAAAGAAAAGGGTGCAACTAAAAATTGGAATATATTTCCATGTTTTTCGATTATATTTTTTTTCTTCTCCATGATTTTCGTCGAAATTCAGTTGCGTTCCTCATTTGACTTTTATTTATTTTTTTCTCTCTCTTTCCTAGCATTCATATTAAACTACATATTCCGCAGATAATAAAGAAACACACTCACACTCGGACCATTTACAAGCATCACTTTGTCAAGCCGAAATCGGGCAAAAGTTTGTCACAATCACCATCAATACTGCAAACCATTTCAGCATCGCCATCGTCGCTGAAACTTAGTAGCAACGGACTACTGAAAGCGATACCCACGCTCAGCGAAAGTGAGAGCATTGCTTTGGGTTTAGCAAAGAATGCGTGGCGACCATCGGCATCGGAGTATCGGGCCAGTGAAGTAAGTTATGTGCCCAAGAAAATGAAAGTACCAAAGAAGAAAAATCCATTCAAGATGCTCGAAGTGATGGCCGAAGCACATGCTGAAGGTCATGAAATTCCACCACATTTTATGAAAAATTTGAAGCCATCGCTTTTGGACAACGAAAACAGTGAAACAAGTGAATACATGCCAGATTACATGTTGACCAACCCAATTGATCTATACAATTCGGATGACAACAGTGCTTCGGATTCGGACTCGTCAAAAGCCGATTTGATCTATGTTGCACCACAAGGTGATAAATATAAAGCCAAAAAGACATCGTTATATCCATCGAAAGTTCTGTTGGCACCAACACTTGCAACGGCCCTCAAGGGGAGAAAACCAAAAATGACCTATGACTGGTTACCCGGAACCATTTCAACATCACTGTCATCGACCTCTTCCACTGCATCCGATTCCAGAGGCTCCGATTCAGATGAGTCCGACATCAAACACACACTAGCGAAAATGCTCAAGCGTAGCAAACTACGGAAACCAAAACGTATACCGTTGCCAACATTTAGCCCATCTGAAGATCACTTCAACATCTTACAGATGACGCGCAAACCAATTTCAATCACGAATTTTACAAAATTCAAAAATCGGTTGTCAGCAGCCGCATCAACTCTTAATACAAGCATTTAAAAAGACAATAATTTCCTCTCTGACTGGATCAATTCAATTGAGTTATTGATCATATGTCCAAATTGTTTACATCATTTCGTTGAGCTATGGGTAATATTACGTAAACAACCCAAACTCACTCGATATTTTAACAATCCTGTTGTTTTTTTCTTCTTTTTTTTATCTAGTTTTAATGTACTTTGTCAGAAAAGTGTATTTAATAGACGTGATTATTGATTGAATAAAGTAGAATATACATGAAGAAACAAGTTTTTTTTTTCATTGGCTCATCACATTGAACGATTCATTCTTTGTATAAAAAGAATAGAATTGCCTATAAGTTGGAATAATGGCTAAAAAAATTCTTGGCCTTTTTCGAATGGTAGGTATGATTATCCAGAATAATTTGATATTTAGCAGGAGTCGAGCTAAGCGTGGAAAGCCCCAAAAAATTACGAGGAACGAGAACGTTATTCAAACGATACAACAGTTTGTCATACAGTCGATGCACTTGAATTCGATCAAAGAATCGTTCCTAGCCAATTAAATACCTGAAAATTAAAAAAAAATAATAATTCGAATGGACAATATTAGTTCCATCTAAGATAGATGTATAAAAATGAAAACTAGCGACTTAATTTTATTCAGTAAACGAGATTTTATTTCAGCGAATTCGAATGGAAAAATACGATTTTTGGTTTATAAGCGTTTTTTTCTCTAGTTAAATTTATTTTCATAAAGTTTCGTTGCGTCCATAATTCGTGTCTTTAAGATAATACAAGCAATCGCCATTGATTAAGCCGGCAATACCACGTTTGTCGCAGAGCAATGAAGCTAATTTATAGCGTAATGTAACACTTTGGACCATTTCTAGGATGATTGAAATGGCCTTTTCCATCTTTGACGTGGCACTGGATTGCAATTGCAGGAAATTCTTCACCAAATTTTCAATCATATCGTCCGACAGCTCCATTCGTACGCAATATTCTATAATGTAATCATCTTTGCCTTGCAGCACGAATTGACTGAAAATCGATTCAGTCCAGGTAATCTCATACGGATAGGCACGGCTGAGCATTAGTGATTGGGGAATGCTGCGGGAAATATAGAAGAATTTATTGAATTAGAATAATTTTTGCATTTTATGTTCAGAAAACAAACACTGTTCAAATAAATGGTGTCTTACTTGAGTTCGTTATTGACGAGATACCGAAACACGCTTTCACTGCGAATGTTCAATACACACAAGCAGTTTGGTTTGCCGTATTCCAGCGTATGTCGCACCAAATGAATTTGCATCGCGACCAATTCGGCATTTGAAGCTGCTCGTTGGGCCAATACAAGTTTATTCTCTAACAAATAGTTATCCGCTGAATTTGCATAGGCATCTATAGCTGATGTTAGTGATTCAAGTAGAGATTTTGAGCACACTAAAAATGTGACACCCGATGCAATCGCCAAACTGAGATTTTCGTTGAAATTGAGTGTGCTCGAGCTGGCATCGCTGAATTGGTCGGCATTGGATTTCGTAGAACTCATCGATGCAATGGATATTTCGTCTTCCGAGCGTTTTTCATATTTCTTCAATTCATTCTCAACAATTGTCCGTGCTTCCGATTCGCTAATTTGCGCCAGTTCTTGGTACATCTGAAAATGGAGTGCGGCCAGTCGATAGTTTTCCTTATCATCGGGATGATGTTCTCTCAAATACGATATTATCGCGTCTTTGAATCCAGTGACACGTTCTTCGTCGAATTGACCGAGCAAACACTCGAATTGGCCATTTTTCATGAGGATTTCAAAGCAATAGTACATGTCACGATACCGGCCAACTCCCATCAAAAGTTTTACAATCAAACGCCATGATTTAGCCGCGGCAAGCGTTGCTGTGATCGCTTTACAGCGTTGCAGCACAAATGCGATACCTTCCATGGAACATTCATACACGAAGCAATCGTGTGCCTTTATCAATAGCTCTACAGTGATTGTGTTTTGCTTTTTGTATGACAACACTTGATTTTCCATTATAGTCCAAAGACTGTTGAAAGTTTCCCGTAATTCGTCGGCATTTGAATAGGCCGTTAGGTCGGGCTCGGCATTTTTTACGGAATCAAATTTACGATAAATCTTCAGTGCATCACAAAACCGAAGCAAATTATGACCGAGCAACGATGCCGACGTACTTGGACATAATTCCAAAAATAAATGGAAATCTTTGTCTAGATCGTAGTCCCACAGAAAATTTTGCCCAAATGAATGCGACGTTAGGCTATGCAACAAGTAAAAACGTGATTTGATTATTGCACGAGATATTTGCTCAGCGATGAAATTTGCTATTTCGGTTGCGGTCATTTGCATCGAAGTCATGATGTCGCTCATAACTAATAAACGATTTACACATGGATCGTCCATTGCATTTTGTAACAAAATGTATGGGTCTTTGGTCTGTAGCACGTCCAAGTATTCCTTTTCCAGGTGCATAGCTGCTCGAAAAACCATCGCAATACGTTGAACTAGCTTGAATCCATACTTTACTCGAGATGCGAGGCTCTAAATTGAGATGAGTACATGGGATTTAATTAAAGAGATGAATATATTTTGAAAGCCGATAAAATTTTTCAACGTATTTTGCTTTAGTTTACCTGAATAGCATCCAGCAAATCTTGTTTTTCACCCGATGGAATCTCTTCAAAATCAACACGTGTAGGCTCCGAATCGAGATACGTCTTACCGACTGGCGATGATGATGTGCTAGTGCTGCAAGACGTATTCATTCGTTTCAGTCGAAGAGTGCGTCGATTAAATTTCGAAGCGGCTTGCTTCAGTCCAGCATTCAGCATTTGCTTCTGCTCCGTCGATAAATCGTACAAATTCGCCAAACTCTCGGCCAATGCCATGCAAAACACCAAGTAGTGCAGATCAATTGTACGGTGATTGAAGATGCCTTGCAGTCGAAGCGCTTGTACGACATCACCTTGGTCGAGTAAACGATTCATTAATTTGTTGAGTCGCTCAGTTTCCTGTTTTTTCAACTGATCTTTGGCAACTACAGTCAATCGATCAACGCCCGCCAAATCTTTCAAATCTAAAAAGGATTTATACAGCACACCACGCTCTGTCATCATAATCGCTTCAAAGTACTCGGAATTGTACATTTCAATTTCATCGATGTTGCTATCATTTTTCAAAATACACTTGTACATCTCACACTCGATGCGATCACGGGGAATCACTTCGTTTGGATAGAGGTGATGTTTTTTGATAGCATTCAAAATTTTCTTCAGTACCAAATACTTTTTGATGTCAGTATAATCCAGTTTGCCTGATACAAACAACAAAAAGTTGATTAAGACTAACGGCGAGATTGAGTGCTGCGAAATGCCCTGGTCACACGATTCAAAATCGAAACGTTCTTCGTTCTCAAACTGATGGATCCATTGCTCATAAATGATAGTGTCTTTTGATAGACTCAATAGATCGGCCATTTCGATGGCACATTTAAATTGTTTTTCAGCAATTAATTCATCGGAGATTCGAATGTATTCATTTTGTAGGAGAGTTGATTGCTCCATTTCAGCTTCAGTTTCGACGACAGCCCCTCCTCCTCCTCCTCTTTCGCCGTTGTTGGTATCGGATGGCAGTCGACAGAGCATTTCATCGATGTTCAGGCGAACTTTTGTGAACCGAATAATTTGGTTGATAGCAGCAATGGTGCTAAAGTCAATTGTATCAGTGCGATTGCTGATTCCTGAAGCAGCAATTGTGTCCAATAGCTGCTGACTGTGCTCCATTGAGTCAAAGCTTCTCTTCACATATTCTACCAGTAATGTGGATACGAATCGAAGCATATGGTCATTTGAAAAAGGCACTAGGCTATTAATCGAAACCGTTTCCTCGTCCAATTCGTACAGAAAATCCATGAGCAATGCACTTGTTTTCGTTGTGAATTGATATCGACTCGTTTCGGAGAGAAACTGTGTAAACAGCGTAAATTTACTATCCGGATAAAAAATCCTGAAACTTTGATGCAGCGTTCGCACATGGTTCTCCTGAACGCAATAGGTTATGATGTATTGCACCAAATCACCATACTCTTCGATATCAAATTGCATTTCAGTTTGTTCCGTTGATATTATTAACCAAATGATCCAACAGTAATCCACGGCCGATTCATTTACAGTAGCTGCCAAAATCGATAAAATCGGCCATTTCATTTTGAACGCGTATCGAACTAAATTCAAATGCGTACATGGTTGATATATGTCGGGGTTTTTCATGATGTCTCTGATTACGGTGAGACTGAGTTCTGGTTCATCGGCCGATCGCAATTCACATGTACAAATTAAAATCACGGCAAAAATATCCATGTCATCATTGATGTTCAAAAATTGCTGACACGAAAGCAGTTTGGTCGTTGCCAATTTTTCCATGTAGTTCATCGAATTGGAAATATGGCGATTGTTAGCGGTGATCTGAAAGTAGAAGAAAGAGGAAATGTTACACAAAAAATGCTCAGATTTCCCACGCAAAGAAAATGTTTTACCAAAAGATTGGTATCGTTTTTGTTGAGAATTTTCCGTTTATGTTCACGATACGAAAAGCTATTTGTCCGTCGAGGCATCTCATCCTCCACAATAATTTCTTTGAGCGCTCTTCCCATATTCAGGCCGATATTTCTATTTTTGAAGCATTCCATTTGGCAAACATCAATAATCGATCTTATCGAATAATTATGGTATGCAGCAAACAGCAGAAATTGAAACCAGTTGGATCTTTTGGCTGCTTCTTTCAGAAACGACAATGGTAAATCTGATTTTCGTGCTTTGCATAATAATTTCAATGGCTCGAATTTGTTAACATCGAATAGTTCGTCGAGCGTTTCACAATTTTTAATTTGCTGTAAAAAGATATTTTCGGTTTGTTTGATCACATGTTCTTCGTTGAAGCAACAACTCAAATTGAAGTCGTCGCCAGCATTTTCTTTAATGATTCGACAGCATTTGATGTGGGCCCGTAAGATTTGCGAATTAATGCCGAGCATTTCAATAAACGACACACAATGAGCGACCATTTCGTTATCATCGAGATTATTGATAGCGATTTCCGAGATGGCACCGCACGCAATTTGAATTTGAGCATGTGATATTTGTGAGTAAATGTTCAGCTGATTGACAAAAAATTTGTATACCGCATAGGCGCTACGATACTGTTTCACATAATCGGCGTAACTGAGTACAGTTGATTGTCCATATTTTTGGTTTAAACACTGATTGGAGAAAGATATTAACTCGTCATTGGACTTCTGGTTGGCGAAAGTAGTCAAGTCGTCAGTGGTGTCGCCGTTTGTTGCAATCGCTTCCGCTTTAATCACTTTCAAGTCAATATTTTTCAATTGCAACATTTCATCCAGGGTGACATCATAGTCATTTATAGCGTTGGTCGTGCGTAGCTTGCGTAAAAATAAATTAGTTACAGAAATTTTGCCGAGAATCTCGAGGCTTCCTTTTGAGTTGGCCAACTCCATCGGTGATACATCCTTCAAAAGTTGCTCCATCAAATAAACATGCGGAAATTTGGAATAAAAGTCCACGTCGGATGTTTTGATAATGTATTCGGAACATTTTTCAGATACAATGGCCACGGAACGTTTCGTTTCGAAATCCTCTTGTTTAATGGTTGTACATAGATCAATCTCATCGGCGATTTTCTGGAATTCAGGAGCAACTTTCCCGATCAATTCCGTGCTGAAAATATTGTGTAACAACAAAACCAATTGATCTTGTTCAAAGATCAATCTTATCATCTTTTGTAGATGCTTATCAGTGACAAGCCAATTTTTGTTGGTTTCAAACGAACACGTCGTCAAAATCCGCTGTAGCATTGCAACAATGGAATCCTTTTCACAATGCACGATCATTCCATTCTGTGCAAAACTATTCAGAATGCATTCATCCATTCGTGGATCGTTTTGCACACTGGCAAACATTTCCGGTTCGATATCCCACGACGAAAAGAGGTTTCTTATTGCAACATCGAAGCATGGCTCCTTCTGACCGCCATCAAGGTCGCTGATACTCGGACACTTGCTGTCGTAAAGTAAATTCAACCATTTGATAATGTATTGGAATTGTTCGGATCGCCACAGATACGACCAAGTGATGTGCTTGTCAAGCTTCTCCACGAGAATCGCATTTTTGCAATGCAAACACGTCGTAACGGCCATCAACTTTCGAAACTCAACACTTTTCCGCAACAGTGATTCCAGTGTAAAAACATGGATTTCATCTTCGAATTGTCGCCGCAATGTTTTATTCGATGCGGCCAACCGTAGCACCAGCAAATAGTAATCGTATTCTTCACGTATCACATCGAAATTGTTATCACAATTTTGCAAATGTTCTAAGATGACGCGTTCTTTTATGTCATCATCAATATGCTCCTGAGATGTACTTTGTACAAACTCGTAGAACAATGCCTGCGATTTGCGTCCAGAATTTTTGAGCACCAGTTCGGCTTTGTGTACTTGCCGATTGGTGAGCAAACGATGTACATATTTATCAACTTCGTCGTTAAAATATTGCTTGACATCGGTCAATGGCTTGCCACTGCGTTTCACCAAAAACTGTAGCAACAAATTAATGTACTTTCCTTTCGTTGCCACTTCCTTAATTAGCACTTCATCTTCGATATGTTCCCATTCTTTGAGTAATTTTTCGGCAAACTTTTCACGATCGTTTGTTGGTGTAGCCATTTCTTTCACTGTCAGCAATTTATTACAACATTTTTACAATAACTAACTGTGTTGTGTTTTTTTTTTGGTGACTGCAACTCGGATCAAGTTGATTACACAGCTGATTCACTCTACTGATATATTGTTTATCATTTGAACGAAGTAAACACGAATTGTCAATGTCTATTCAAAATCTTTGATGCATGACACACACATACACACAGACATATCAGAGAAATCGTTCAACATTTTCACTCAATTCATTTGGACAACCCTGTGCAAGGGGCATACGGACTGTCAACATCGTACAAATGTCAAAGTAGAAAACAATGATTGTTTGGCGCTTCTGCCGACATTCATGTGTGACTGAGAGAATTCGTTTGTAAATTACAGCACTGTTAGGCTAGATAGAGAGTTAATTTTTTTTTTTTGCTTTTTCACCACAAAATTATTGTGTATTTTATCAAAACGAAAGAACCATGGCAGACACCACAACTGAACCAAAATTAATGTAAGTTTAATTTGTTCGAGTACAACGGATTTATTGCAAAGACCTAACCTCAATAGAGGTCATTTCGCAACGTTCACCAATTGTTATATTCTAAAATCATTTGAATTTATTTCCAGACAATACAAAAAATTATGGCAAATAGTATCTGGTATTCACTACTCAACGCCAACTACAACAGTCCTAGATGAATTGAATGGCATCAAAACCGAATTGTTGAATGGTGTTAAGCGAGAAAAGAGCAATGCCACCAAATCGCCAAAAATTGATGCCACTTTGATACCACTGATCGACAAACTCAAACAATATTTGGACGTTACTCAAGACAAAGCATGGAATATATTGCAGTGTTATTTGAACAACGAGTACAGTGATTCGATAGAAAATCTGCAGAATTTCTTGAAAACGGAAACCAACACAGAGAAACTGTTGGACAGAATCTGGGATTACTATGCGTTGGAGCGAATGACATTGTTGAAGATTGTAAAGAATTTACTCGAACAAAGTCAATCCACGAAGCATCCATACGCTGATGAATACGAACAAATTCTACAACACATCGGATTGGCGAAACTACGACAATCGTATATTGAACAACTGAAAGAACTCATCCGAGAATTGGCACCATTCAAATCCAGCCACACCGAATTGTTTAACGTGCGCAACAAATTGGTCTCGTGGACCGAACGTAAACTCCGTGAAACAAATGAAATATTACAAATCATTCTGTTGATTGTCCACAGAGATCACATTCTGGTTGATGAGTTTAAAATACTAGTCGAACTGTTCAAACAGCATGCGTTTGGTAGACAACAACCCTATTTAGACTTAAACGGAAATAGCTTGCACAAAGATCTCGTTGTTAAAATTACCTACAGTGAAGTCGTTTTGTTTGTGTCGTGCATCGAAGAAAATCAATTTATCGATTCAAAAACCGGGTAAGGCATAAATCATAGTGGTTCGCAGAAGTGATTCACTTCAAGTGAACAGAAAAGAAAAGTAATTTGAAATTTTCATCAAGCCAAAGAACTGTTTTAGAACTAACTGAGTCTAATTTGGTTTTATGAATTGAGTAAGATTGGTTTAAAGCCTGGTTCTTGCGTCTTACAATAAATTGCTATGTTTGTGTTGTATTTTTTTTCAGGAATGAATCGTCTAATATCGAAAAACTTCGTCAAATCTCAGCCCATTTGGATAAAGACATTGTGTTACTGCATCAAAATGCAGAGCATGGGCCGATTTTGTTGTCTTGGATGTTGATGAATATCCAATTGATTGAATTGTGCTCGGAAAATCCAGAATTCCAACGATTTCAACAGTATGGAATGATGGCGACCAAACTCGGTGTGTTTGGCTATTTACAAAAGATGATAAGCCATCCGATGTTTCGAGACCAGAGTCTGGTGGCGCTTATCGCTTGTCGAACTGTATACAATTTATTGGCGTCCATGTGTGACATCTTCGATAGCGATCAGCACAAAAATATATTTGAATTACTTTGTGAATTGCTCAAAAATCCAATCATTGCCACATCATTTTATACAAAGGAAGATGGTGCTCAGTCTTTATTCCACACAGCCATCGAAAATTTCCCAGTTAACTTTGTGTCATTGTCTATGATCGCACATTCGCTAACCACAACTAGTAACGCTTCAGCTGCATTTGTGAGTACCTTTCTTTCAAACAGTTTCCCCTAAATGAACAATCTTTTAATGGAATGAAAAAAATGAATTTTCTACAGATACGCAAGCAAATTGAAAATTTGCCAACATACACTGAGTATTATAATTCCCAACGTACGGCACTGAAACCGAGCGATTTTAATGAAAATGAATTCGTTTTGGTGCGAGACTTCAAGCCATTCAGTCAAAAGTTGCAGTATATCATACCAGCTGGATCAGTGGCCACGGTATCGGATAAATCAAATGTAACTCAAATACATTTGAAATCATCACTCAATTTCTTCGACGCATTGCACCACGAAATCAACGAATTGCTCACCGATTTGATTCGTCGTCCTGAAATCGATCCATTGCGCAAGAATCGAGTGTATTGGGGATTAAAATATCTAGCCGCTGCACTTCGTCGCATCAACGATCCATCGGAAATATCCAGCGAAATGGTACATCCAACCGAAATGGTGTTTGACATTTTCCTGAAATTCAAAGATGTGCCAAACCCACCAGTTGACTTGCTCGCCCAATGCTTCAACGTTTGCACTGCCCTCGTTCCGATGCATCAGAGCGAAATATTCAAGCGTGTCATCAACATGGACATTTTACCATTCTGCACCACCGACAAACTTAACTTCCAAGAATACGCCAACGGCGCTGGATTTGATACGGGCTTAGTTGGATATTATTTGGTTTCATTCGAAAAAGTCACTGGTCGTTATGAGTTCCTCACGGCGTATTTGACATTTTTGAAGGCTTTTGCTACAGTTAGTTTCAATTATTTTTACTACTTCACTCAAAATGTTTCATACTCAGCACAAATACATTAATCGCTGACATTTACCCCAATTTATCGCCATGTTTCAGAAGCCGCAGATGGACTGCACCATATCGTTGGAATTGCCGGGCCTGATTTTCCTTCTACGAGAGGTATTTCCGTATATTCAAAGTTGGCGCTTTGAAAATGAGTTGGATCGACAGCAAATTCTGGCCCAAATTCTGCAGCATTTCTGTTACGTACTGAAAATATCAGATGACAGTGGAGCACGATTAATATTGCGAAATACATGTGTCTACAGCCTTTTGCATTTGGACAGCGGTCTCACGCTCTTGAGGTCAGTATTCAGTGGACTGCCAAGTCGTGTGTATATTAAATGAACAATTATATTAGGCTGGACGAAGAAATCGTACAAGTTGAAACAAAACAGAACAAGAGAAAATTCATTCTTCAAACAATGATTCAATCCATTTTTTTTCTGCTCTACAGAATTGTTGCCTTGGGTAATGCCTTCATCGAAGAGGTGATGCAGAATGAAACGAATTGGATGACGACTGAACGAACCAGCTTTAATTTGCTCGTGCAATTAAGCATGACGATTTTGATGTATATCTTACGACTGCGTTATCGTTTGAATGAGAAACCAGGAGCAATGTCACCGCTGGAGAATGTTATATACACGCAGCCAAAGCATATAATCCCAGTTGTCACTGGTTATATGCGAAATATATTCAACCGTCGCTTGCCAATTCTGTCCTGCCGTTTGTTGCGCCGTTTTGCCATCGAATTTCAAATGTCATTATTTGCCTGTTTGGATATGGTGCCATCGCAGATACGTACAACATTCCTTGAACGGCTCGATAACGTGCTAGAGTGTGACGAACTGAAAATCGGTGTATTGGAATTCGTTGAAGCTTGTATTGAAAAGCAGCCCGGCATGACAGAGGCATTCTTTAAAATCAATTACAACGATCGAAAGACAGTGGTTGCGGGTGGAGCACCCAAGAACAAAGACATTGGAGAGGGTGTATTGACTTATATGGAGGATTATTTGAATGTTGTCGGCCAGGATGCAAATATCGTTGTGGATAATTCCATCGACGAAATATCACTGTTGACCCAAATTATGTCACTCTTCCATTCGCTGTGGAAAAATAATATGCAACAGTTGGTGGAAAAATTGTTGAGCAAAAAAGACTTTTGGCCATCAATTTTGAATCCACTCTTCGGAAATATTAAACCACAGATTCGAGTTTATTCGCAACTATTCAATATGATCGGCTTGGAATTGTATCGAATTACGGAGCCGAAGCATTTAGATGAGAATTTGAAAAAGACACTCGATCGTTTTCTCAAGCCAAACATGTTCGTCAATTGGGTAGATAATGTGCTCAAAATTCCGAACGAAATGGATATCGTCACCGATGACACACCCGATTGGCTATGCCGGCTACAAAGCTTCAAAGATTTATTTGTTATCATTCTGCGACGCAAAGACCGTCATTCCATTGAAGTGCCGAGCGAAAGTTTACAATACTTTGCCGAACAATGCTTAAAACGACTCACCGAAAGGCTCAATTATATCGATGACATGCGACCTTTCATTATTCTGGCTGAACTGTATTTAAGCTTATTGTTTAGCTACAAACACACACTCAATGCCTCGGTACTTGATGATGCAACCGTTCTCCCCAGCATTAATTTATTACTTAGCCAACTAGCGGCTTCTTATCGTGAAATGCACATTCGAGCAAAAGAATCGATTTTAGCCATAGCATTCAGATCGATCGACTTGTTTGCCACCACATTGAGTGAAAATCCGGAAATTAAAATGAGTTTCGTCGAATCGGTTACTCAAATTTTGTGCTACGAATTAATGGAAACGGAAACGGAACTGAAGGCCAAGCTGAAGACATCTGGTGGACAAGTGCAAAGCGACAAACGGTCGTTATCATTCGTCTTGTCGTTGAATATATTCAAAGTAATTTTGAAAGATTTTAATGACAATGCAAATATTCATCGCATCGAACGTGTGTTGCAAACCGAACGAGTATTTAATCGCATTTTAAGTTGTCTCCATGTTACGCTGCCTTTGCATTGTGCACGAAAACTGTCGTCGGAAATGCTTGATATTTTGATTGCATTTGCCAATAGTCGATTTTCCATTCAACTACTGTACTGCGAATTGGACTACTATTTGTGGATGAAACTGTTGCCGCCCAAAGAACTGACTCAAGCCTCGTATGCCGTACCAGTTGCTCCAACGAATCCAACATCGAATCCAATCACATGGCAATCGCACGAATGGTGGCCAATTTACAGCCTTGGTATTCAATTGGTACATAATTTGTTGCAGCGCCACGGTCATTTGTTCACCAAAGAGGCAATTGCGTTTGCCGGTGTTCATGAAGAATTTCTGATGGACTCAATGCTACTATCAAAACATGCACTCAACGAAACACCCATCAGGCTCATCAAAAACGCACTGGAATTTGTCAGTGAACTAATTCCATACGAAAAACAGTGGCGACTCGAACATCAACAGAGTATGATCAATTTAATGGTAAGTTTGCGTTCGGAAGAAAAAAAAATTTCATCAAAAGGTTTATAATGCCGAAAATTGCCGATAATTCGATCATTATTGTTGTTTATTCCTTCTCTTGTGTTGAACAGCGATGTGTTCAAGTGCTTTTGGATCATGCGGTGTCACTGTTGTATCGACCAAAACACTTGAAACGATTGATAAACAATACAGCCGCCTTGAAGGACACCCAAAATATTTCGGACGATGATACATTCAACGATGAAGTCAAAGCTATGAATGTGTAAGTATTAATGATTGAACATGGAATTTCTCTATTGTTGCCATTGTTTTCATAAAAGAGTGAGCTATTCGTATCATAAATCTTCTTTTATCGTTTGGTTATTGTAATTTTTGTGCTTGATGAGTTTGGTTTATTTAATTTGTTGTTTCTTCAAAGTTTTATCTGGAAATTTATTACTGTTTTGAATTTTGGCACACATATTTTGTTGTTTGATTCGGGGCATTGTGGTCATCAACCAATTCGTATTCGATCTTTATATACCTTTGTGGTACCTTATGCATAAGGTCAATGTTTCACTTATAATTTGATCCAAACTAAACAATTCAGGTTGATTCGAATAAAGCGTTTTTCATAGAAATTCGTTTTCCATTTCCAAAAATAAACCCAAACTGCGTCAAGTATTGAGTAGATGGTTCTTTGAGATAAAGATAATTTCCATAGGATTTATTTATGTCTATTTTAATACATCATTTCAGCTTGGTCGAAATCGTAACCGTTTGTTCAAAATGCTTGATGGCATTCAGTCCAAGTCTATTGGAATTGTTAACGAATCCGGAATTTGTGCCGGCAAAATGGCAACCGTTGATTGAAATTCAATTCAATGCACCGAAACTAAATGTTGGTTCCACAATGCCACAGCTCACATTCGGTACCATTCTAAATGCAGCCATAATTTTCACAAAGGCCTTAAATATCGTAAGTTGTACCCCAATTTGTTGTGCATATCATAAGCTTTTATGATTTTCCCAATTAATTTAATATTTCCTTTCCCCGCAGCAACAATTCAAATTCGATGAGCATCCGTTAAATAATATAGCAGAGACAAAATCAAATGGAGCTAATACAATCATAAATCAAACGGCGCAACGACGTCGTAGCTACACAACATCGATATCAGCATTGTCCACGGTTTCAGCAACTGCAGCCGCCATAAATGAATACCTTACGAATTTGGATTCGGAGCTTTGTTTCATAGCGCTTGAATTTGTTCTAACTCTGTTGGCTTCGCAGAGTTTGCTTGCATTGAAAGATGTGAATTTGTCACAACGTGAGAAGCAGTTGATCAAACGCGAACTGTCGACTGAACTCTCAGTATTTTATGATTTTGTGAAGAAGCGCGTTTTACCTGAAATGGCACGGGATGAACCGTTGCGACGCAAAAAGTATGGCTGCAAGTCAACGGGTTTGAGCAAAGAGCAAATGGAAGAGATTGGTCGACAACAGCCGTCTACGAGCCGAAAATCGGTGAGCAATTCCGATCGTATGCGAATTAATGTAATGCGAAAGTTGCACCTCAAACAGAAATCACCTAAAACATCTGGAGCATTTGAAATGACTCAGCAGTACAGTCCAATCGGGTCTTCGTTGGGTGGATTCAGTCGATTCGATTTACCCACATCGACGCCAGCACAACCAACATCCAGACAATCATTAACCGATGACGATGACGATAATGAAGACGACCAAGAAGAAATTCAAATGTACTTCGATCCAGAATCTTTGGAAGATCCGGCATTCTGTGAGTTGTCCGTCATACAGCTCGTCGAAGAAGATTATCTACATTTTCTCTCAAATTTATTCGGATACATTTGTCATACTGAGAAAATTAATTAAGAAATTCTGTTGAAAGTTTGTTACACATCGTGATGATATTGTCATATTGAAATTAAACCAAAAGTCTTAGAAGCGATAAAATACGGTACTTTTTTTCATTTGTAGTTTTTGAATAAAAAGAATGAAAATAGGCTGAACGAATCATTTCCGTTTTTCTTTCATCTTTCCAACTCGTAAGCTTCCTTCTGAATAAACATTCGAAGGTGTTTAATAATTCATATCGATTAAATTGCAATTTTTCCGTCATTGTATCGATTGAATGAGTTAAAAACATCCCGTTGATTAATAATTAACTGCTATCGACAAAGTTGTTTTGATTAAATGTTATGATTAGCTAGAGTGATGCTTGAGGCAAATTGGCTCTCGTCAATTCTCATTGAGAGAGAGAGAGAGAAAAATAAATAAATAAATTGCCATGCCTCGAATGTTACATCATAAATCTGATGGCGTGTGGTGGAAATAGCAATGATAAGTAGCCGTGGAAGTCATTAAGATGTAATTAATTGGTAGTGGTGAGTGATAATCGCCTAAAAAGTCAAGTAGCCGCGACTGAGCTTGCTCAATGCTCTTGTGCGCCAAACAAATTGATTCATCGTCACATTATTTTATTTATGCATAATATTAAATTACACACTTGATATCGATCTAAATGGCTCCATTATCTTGACTCTAGCCTCAAGTGGTAGGTCTTGCGCTTGCGCTTTGCGTACTAGAAGACAGCAGGCAAAGCCACATCCAAACCACACGGTATTGAACACGATGCTCAGGTTTATAAGTTGCACTTGATCCGAATTTAAATTAAAACAATGGATTTGTTTGCTCAATTCAATTTTCAACGATGGAATTGATGTGCTTGAGAGTGTTTGTTATTTGCCTATTGAATGCACCATCAATTTTAGTTGCTTTTTTGCCTTTGACACATTTTTCTCTTCTACTTCGCTGTTCATGACTTCGTCAATGTGTGTATGACAATAGCGGTATGCAATGTGCTTCTGTATCGTAGCCATGGTGCGTTCGTGTGAAAATATACATAAAGTTAAGGCGATTCGCCGTAACGACCGTGTCAGTTTTTTGATGCCGAAAATTTCAAACATCTTATCATTCATCAGCAGTATTTTGAACAACAGCATCTAATGAAAAATAATCTCAATGAGGGAAGAAGTACGCACATAAATCGATATGAGCGAAGAAATAAAAAAAAAGCAAACTGCATACAATCAACAATTAACCCTGACCATTAAATCAAATTAGCTTTTTTTTATGCCCAATTTAGTTGCTCCGGTCCATGGGGTGAGAAAGAGAGATAAAGAGCTTACAAAAATCGTTTATTTGTATAAATATGTTTTAAGTTCCACGCGGGGCCGATGGTTGGTAAAAAATGAGATAAGAATACAATACCTATTCGATGAGGGCCATAATCATGATGAAAATGATGCGCACACGTTTCATGTCTAATCATTTAATTTCGATTCATAACAATATCAAATCCTTTTTTCTCCTACTCTGCACTCGGAATATTTCCAAATTCAGTGTGATAATGTCATTCTAACTTTCTCAGTGCAATTCGCATACGGTACACGATCGATGCATGGATTCAGTTGTAAACAAATCGAAAAATTAGTTTTCAATAGTAAATACGATTTTTATCAAAAGCTGATAGACCAAAAACAAAATGTCACACAACAATAACAAGCGCGACAACCTCAAACTACCGATTTAACTTCGATCCAATGGCAAGTTCAACGTGCAGCTTGCATGAAATTACGAAATCCAAACTAATTTAATCGTTTATCCAACGGTTATGCTGTCATCTCGCATGAATCATTTTGTTTACGTACACGGTCTACATAATTCGCACTCTTGTGCTTTGCTTTGAATCCATAATATATGCATAAATTTTAATTATTATTCCATAAATTACGCAAAACTTATTAATAAAAGATGGATTGGATTACGATTTTGGGTGGCTATTCGGATTACAAATGCAAGTGACATCGAGCACATTCTTCGTGGAGTCGCGGTCGATCGTCGACCACAAAAACAACACAATTTCTTTAAATTAGAAAAACGTTGAACGCCATCGCCGATTCTTATTCCGATCACGTCCATTGAATATGCGACAATATGTTTGTATTGTGTCCAATTAATTCGTATTTTAATGCAATGTCAATGAAAATGAAAACATAAGATATCGGTAAAATGAACTTGAATATTCCATTGAGCGTTCTATTCTATTCGAACGTGCTCAGGTCAGTAATATTTTCGCGCAAAATGTATTGAACGATGGTATAGTAATGAATGAAAATATAATAATTAAAATAACAATCACATTTTATGCAACACCGAAGAAGTAATTTAATGAATGGAACAAAAGAAACCAATGAAAGCAACGAAAAGAAAAAAATAATCCGTTTTTCTCGAAGAAGTCATCGTCATGTGATAAATCATGTGAAAACCGAAATTATTATTAAAAGTTGTTGCCTCAACTGAAAGGTTTTTCCGCTGGTTAAAAAGTTTGATTTGATTTTGGGATAAAAATGATATGCATTTTGTTTCGCATAGATGTTAAGACATTGAACCATCCAATGCGTCATGACAATGAAAGATGCTAGACATTTGCATGGCCGTTCGCAACAAGCAGCACGCGAGCATAGATAATCATTAACATACATGTAGAAAAATGTTGTCATTATAATTAAGTCAATTCCAAGCATTTCTTTGTTTGGCTTATTTTTTCTTCTCTCCTCCGTTATTCCGTCCTCTTGCTGTGTTTTGTTTTTGCTAATTTCAGCGGCAAGCGAATTGTTTCATTAATTAATATCAACAACCACGGTGATGGTCTTGTTGTTTGCACTTGGACTTGAGGAATAGCCGCATGTGAATTCCGAACGACATGAGCGACAAGGTTAGAAAATAGTGCGATTTTATTATTGAGTTGCTTGACATGAGGTCCATTGTTGATTTTCCAACTAATTTCGATCGAATTTTTTTTTTGCAAACGGATATATTTTAATGACTACTATAGACAATAATGTGATCGAGTTTGAATGGCTCAATTACGGAAGAAAAACAATGAATATATGGAAAAATCGCAAATTTATTATAAGGCATTTCTTCCGTGTGCAATATCGCCTCGTTGCAAATATTCATTTTTACAATGAAAAATATGGTAATTGGATACACTGAAGCAACTGTATGGCGCTTTGATATTTTAATGCAGGATGATCTAATTCTTTTTCAATGCGACATTTAACACTTGAATCGACATCCAGTGTAAATAGTATCAATGAAAAAAATACTAACATTATATTTATTTTTATGGCACAAATACACGTACACCAATCTTTCGGCCTCCGCACACCATTTGTCGTTACATTTTAATGACTACCGAAGATTCAAAACTGAATCGTAATCATTAGCAAAATGATCGTAAATCTGCATCGCATCACTCTTTATCTCTCCACTCAGTTCCCACTGTCTGCAAATCATTTTCACATGAACAAACGAATGTCACAAACCATCCAATTCAACGGGGCTTGAATCCATAGGTTGCAAAACCGTCGTAAAATTCGTATCTTTTTGTTTTAAATTCGTATATGGTCATCATCTATATTGTTGATTGTTCAAATTTGTGACCTCATTGTTTCACTATGCTTAGTTTTTATTGAATTCTATAGAACAAAAAATAAAAGCCCCATGTTCTTTCTGGCTCTTTTGCATTTCAACCGAAGTAGAACGATCTATTTTTTACGTCTTTGATTAATTTTATTTTGGAATAACATAAAGTCAAATGAAGTCACAAAAAAAAGCAAACAAATTGATTGTCCGTTTGTTCTCATTCCACAATACATCATTCAAGCCGCCTTAAAATTAATACTCGTTGGATGGGTTTTGGTGAATTGATTTCGGCGCCAATTCGAGGATACGCTCTCGCCAATCGTTATATTATAATCCGTATTCTATGGTTCAAAGCTCTTATCATAAAGTTGTCGTTATTGTTTTTTTTTCTCTTCGTTAAGTGGATCAATCTGATTTGTTGATTGACAGCAGCTTTTCAACAATAACAACAAACAGAATGCAAATCGAGTTCCGGTTTTTGATCGAGTGTCGAATTGTCTTTCTTCTTCTTACTGAAATTGGAAGTAAAGGAATTTTTTACACTGAATTGTTTCAAATTTTTATCATATTCGTCCTCCGATATTATCGTTTGCCAGATCTTTAATAGCCTATCGGAATGACACACGAATCGTACCGTAAAAGGATTTACTTGATACACAAGTGGTTTGTGTATTTGAATGTTTGTTTGGACAAATTGATCGTTTGTTACTGTATTTTATTGGTAGATTTTGCTAGTAGCAGCAGCAATAGGCTTTGTAAGGAAATGTTATTAACGAAATAGGAGCTGATAAAAACTAATCGTTCAGAATTAAAAAGCGAAAATATTGATATAAAATAAAGAAGATTCACAACAAAATCCGAATCGAATCATGGCATTTTGACTCTACGTGTGTGCACGTTCTTCGCCACCATTTCTAATCAGTGGTGAACCGTGGAAGAATATCGACATTTACTGTGATTGCCAATGACATTGAAACTGTTTTTTCTTTTTCTTCTTCTTCTTCTTCTCCTTCTTCTCCTTCTTCTCCTTCTTCTTCTCTGAAAATACCAACAAAGAATTCAATTTAGATAAAACCAGCTATTATATTCCGGTAGTATCAATATGAGCAACAGAAAGAGAACATTAAGACAAAATAATATAGATTAGACCTTCTGATGATAATTGCTACTGTAATTTGTAATTTGATGGCTTGGTCACTTTCGATTTTCCCATCCTTGTACGGCCCAAATGGACCAAACACTATTTTTTTCAGCTAATTTTGTGCTCGCTTCAATGACAACATGTACAACTGTTGATTTTCATCATATTTACCTACCACTATGAACGTCAGCGATCAACATCAACAGAGACACTATAGCACATAGCATTAAACGCACTATTGCTTCACTCTTTGTACACACTTTGACATCACTTATGCTTTGGCGCGCGTCGTACGTTTTTCAAACGTTTATGTTTGATTCAAGTATTTCACCGATTTCACCGAATTTTCTTACTCAATATCAATATATTCATTTTTACTTGG